TACACATCATCCACGTACCACTCACCTCATCTTACTCATAATTTACGCTTTTTAAAATTTCAGTCGCCTTTAAACAGCACAACTGCCATTACCATGTGTAAAGCTCTGCTGAGAATCACCAAGAACACGACGCGCTTCAAGTCAGACGTCGATATCACGTACGCTGCTGAGATCCTTGATCGTATTCGACCTTACATGAGCGGTGGGCAGCAGGTCAGTGTCTTACTTAACTTTCAAATGTTTTATCCAACCCCACAACCTCTGGGCTTACVAAAGTGGCATGGGTGATTCATATAACGAATTAGAATTAAGCGCGTTAGGTTTTGCGGTTGGAGACAAACTGGAGAACCCGGAGAAAAACYCTTGAATCAAGGGAGATAACTAACAAACTCTACTCACATGTAATGTCGAGTCTTGGAATCAAACCCGATACCACAGACGGTTTAGAGGCGAGTTCCCTACCGCTACACCACCTTGATCTTCAAATCAGTCAAAGGCACTGAAATAGTTCAGGGGAATTTTCTGCATATGATGGATTGAGAATGGAATTGTTTGCTTCTTCCACACCCTTCCCTGTCCAAGACTCSCCTCTCTCTTCGTTAATGTATCAGATTTGCATATGTAATTGTGTACGCAGGCGCACTTGTGCTGTCGTGGCCATGCGGTAGACTGCAATATTGTTATGAGTAAAGAGTATTGCGTAAATGTATTGTTCCTTCGTTCTCAAACGCGGGTGTACCTKGTTGGCAGCTCAACACTCTTTACGTCTGCACAGGCTAGAAAAATATTCTCAATGACATGTCATTGCACTTGACTTGTGATAACACTCAGTTGTTTTAAGCTATTCTTATTCTATAGATTGGTCAAACTATGGTCCATATAGTCAGCAATTTGATGAATATCGAGGATTCAATTCTAGCTGAAGCTCAAAAGAAATCCAAGGCTTGTTCAAGGTAAACGCTACAATTCTGATCTTATCAAGAGTCGTAAAAACCTGTTATCTTGTGGTATAACGCCTCTTTTATCAAATTAAAATGGTTTTCGTATGAGGGGTACTGAAGAATAGGAAACGCGTGTGCAGTTTTGAAAGAACGCGGAGGTTGGCAGAACACGAAAGAAGTGTTAAAGCCCCGTTTACACTGGCGATTTTTGCTGCGATTTTTGCTGCGATTTTTGCTGCGATTTTTGTGGCAATAAATAAATATGAAAAAGTGAAAATATGAAATATGAAATCTTTTGTCTCATCCTTCAAAAGAGACATTCGTCTAGGAAAATCTTGGTATCCTGAAAAAAGCTTTACTAGTAAATTCTTTACCATTATTTATTATGGACAAAATCGCAAAATCGCTAGTGTAAACTGGGCTTTAGGAGAAGTATGTTCTTTACAAAAGTATCACAATCACAATCCACTTAACTCTGGACATTGTTTCTCATGTTTCTCCAGCTTAGTCCTGGTTCTTGAAGAGTTAGCCAATACAGCTCAAGCAAGAACAAAACTTGTCGCTAGTAATATAGGTATCAGCACCGTAAACCTTTATCCAGCAGCTTACAAAGGAAAGACATGCGCAGCATTTCGTAACGATAAAGGACAGCTCAATACCATATCTTGTAGTTTATTCTGGCAAAACGCTTCGACTTTTTCACCCTCTGAGGTAAGTGACGTCATCGCAGGGAGCTAATACTTCATTTTCGAGTATTCTTTTCACAGGGTTAGCCTCGACGTTGTGTAGAATAGTCACGTGTTCCAGTGAAGGTCAATGGAATTTCAAAGTGTTTGTGCATTCTTTAGTTTACCGTCGGTATTTGTGAATATTTAGACACCGAAATGAGGCCAACCCTGGGTAATTGAGTCTGTAATCAATGAACACAGCGGTATTGTACGAATAGCGCAGCGCAACCGTGACGTCATAAAAACGAARACAAAGGCGAAATTCGGACAAACAAACTTACAAGTAATTACTTTCAGCAGATAATTTTCACAGCCGATCGCAGTTTATCTTAGTTTACATGGGTTATTATTGTAACTTTAAGTAAAAATAATAAAATCGGTTCGTATAATCCTCGTAGCGGTTAAACAGAATGCAATGTTTGTCCGAATCTTTAAGATATTTTTAGAATCATTGCGCTGCGCTATCCGAAAATGGTCTATTGAGATAAAAGTTGCATTTAAAAAAAATATAAATATTTGCAACATGGGATAATTATATAGTCAAGCCGGGCCTCACGAAGAAAAGTTTGCATTGAATTTTTCCTTGATTTTCCATTCGCTTGTATCATAGCATAGTATCGTAGATAACATTTTTCCGTGTTTTTTTTTTTTTCGTCTAGCAAACCTTGGAAGCTTCAGTACACCTTCCCAAGGACATGTTTGTTGGCCGTCTAGTTCTTCCAACTACTGAGATAAAACTAAACTTTATCGTCTTCAAGAACAGCAAATTATTTCCTCGCATTATAAATGGCTCACTCGTTGACAATCCTAAAGTTGTTACCAGTGTTGTTCAGTTACGYATTGGTAAGTTATTGGAGCAATTTCGTGGGGTGGGGGTGGTTGAGATGCGTGGGGGAGGGGGGTGGAGGGTTTTGGAAAACTTTATTCCCCGTATTACTGTACTCTGCCATCACAGTTGCAAAACAAGGAGGGAGAGAGAAGACGCCTCACCCAGTAACCAGGGCACAACATAGCAAATTGTTTGAAGTATTACTCCTTGAGTCTCCCTAATAGTCGTGCATCGTCAGAAACAATGTAAGAAGTTTACTAAATACAGGTATTTAATTGTACGGCATTCATAGATACACCGCTGATCAACTTGACCCAGCCCATAGCGATCAAGTACCACATTGATCAGGTATTTTTACTTTGTAAAATTCTTGTATAAGAAAAACTTCAGAGTTGCTAGATATGATGTACTYATAATGGTACTTGTGGTCTGTTTCAGCGAGGTCTTTCATCACCTATCTCAGGATACTGGAAACAAAGCCAACAAGGTAGGGGGAGGGGGTCGGGGAACTCTCACTTAAAGTGSCGGGGGTTAGTATCGGTCAAATTCTCTGTACAATATTTCTGAGAACCACCCTCACTCCGGCCATCCCTACCCATAACTTCCTGATACCAATCCACATTGCATCCCTTTTTTGTGTTCTAACAATGTTCTTGGTTCGTGATTTTTTTTCCAGGAGGTATTGGTGCCTGGCTTGAGAACAAGGACTGTATACTGAGTAAAGAAAGTAACAACACCATAACACATTGTGCACGGCTGGTTGACAAGACCTACTTTGCTATCTTGATGGTAAGATGTCATTAGGAAACCCACACAACCAAAATAAGTTATATACAAAATCTGAATATTTTTACGTGAGACTACATTGTTATGGGGCTGGAAACAGCGGCGAGTCTGGCGTTTTATGTTATTAGGGTTGGAAAGGGGTATAACACGCCAATCAAAATTCCCTAAACCAGGCTTAATGGGCTAATACGCCATWTACGGTGTCTAGATTGGACAATTTAAACCATTTTCCGTTTCTGGACCCACAACACTAATTTAGATATTTGTATGCTTCAGTCTGTCGATAAGAGTGCCGATGCATCTGGACAGAGTCAACGGAATGGCTTTATGCTGGAGCCAATGGTATACGTGGGTGCGGCCRTTTGTGTACTTCTACTGCTGATAACCTTTATAACATATGCGGTATTCAGGTAAATACACGGATATACTCGTGCATATATCCAATATATCACCAGTATATTATACTAGAGTTATTGTCACGCGAATAAAATATATTGATACMAAGGGAATGACGTCATACTGATAATCACGTGACTCTCYCCAGGAAAYTGCGTTACAACCGAGATGACGCGGCCATGCTTATGAACCTGTGTCTAGCGTTGTTGGTCGCTGTGGTGGTGTTCGTGGCGGGAATATATCACGTGACCAATACTTTAGTATGCCGTGCAGTTGGAGTCTTACTGCATTATTTTCTCCTTTGTTCTCTGTTTTGGATTGGTTGTGGTGGACTCTGTTTGTGTCGACTTATTCGTACGGCCATCACTCCTGAGGARTTTAACCCTGTTTTGCGCTATTACATGATAAGCTGGGGTAAGTACCAATCACCTYGTGTATCGACCTCTTGGACATTGCTTTTCATTGCACTCACTTTTATTGTTTCAGGCATTCCTCTTATTATCTGTGGAATAACTGTTGCTGGGAATCCTGATAACTACAGCGTTGATAAATAGTAAGTCAATAAGTTTWAGAAATGATGCTCCTCATATGAAATTCCACCAATGAAACACGTAATATCAACCATATAATGACGTCACATCTATCATTGAATTCCGTCGCGTCAAACAGTCAGTGACGTCGTATCAGTTAATTYATCATGTCGGTCATTCAATCACACCATTAACAYCACATCGGACGACATAACATCACGTCACGTTACACAACATCACATWACATCACACCACGTCACATCAAATCCACGTCACTTATCATCAATCGGTGCGTAATCTGCTCAAGGAACATCAGACCACGTCACATCAGACCACGTCACATCAGACCACGTCACATCAAACCCCCGTCACATCTCATCAATCAGTGCGTAACCTGCTTAAGGAACTGTCTCATGATTATAAATAGCAAAGGTCTATTATTAAGTGTTTATATTTTCCTGTTTCAGTTGTTGGCTTAAGCCCAACCCATTCCTGGGTGCCTTTGTTGGCCCAGCTTGTCTAGTTGTCCTTATCGACATCATCATGTTTATACGCCTCAACAATCTCGCACTAAAAACCTATGATTCCCTTGCCTACGAAAAGCATGTCCTCCAGACGGAAGCAGGGGAAGAAACTGCAGTTGCAACACAAGATGAAACCTTACCCGACCAAATAGCATCAAARTGTGAACTAATCCAACACATGGAAGAAGCTTTACCGCCAAAGGAGGAGATATTCGTGTACCAGAAAGGAAGYCTCTTAGTATTGTTAATGATTCTAGTTAATTTTGCACTGGGATTTCTGCTTGTTCGATTTCAGCATTCGCGGTTCTTGAACATAGCACTAAGTTGTGCCTATGCGGTGGCGAACATCACACTTGGGTTAATAATATTTCTGTTCCATTGCTTTAAAAACAAGAGAGCCAAACAATATTGGATCGACCTTTTAAAGATATGTGTTTGGAAAAAGAAGTACGTTTTAGATCAGGAAGAAGAATCACACCAAGATAAAGTGACAACTACGTTAATTAATGGAGACACCGTGAGAGAAAACGGTRTTCCAGCCCCGATTATTCCTCAAATTAACGGCGCCCCTGCCACACCTGTCGGCTCTGATATCCAATCGAACGTTTCTGTCCCATCGTCTGCGGCTTTGATAATTGATATTCCTATTAACGGCGGCAGGACTGTAGAGAATGGTGGTCGAGCTCCAGTCAATTACCCGGGCTCTCCACCAGGATCAGATAAACATTCCGTTACTACTTCMATGTCAGACAGGCAGTCCTGTGTATCTGCACCGCTTCCTCTAAGTCATGCTCCTCCAAACATTAACCAACATACACCGGGGTATCGAAATAGCTATTGTGTACCGGAAATGGAGAACAAGAAAAAGAAAGGAAAGAAAAAGAAAGAAAGAATACCACTTGCGATACCAGAGAAAATTTTAATAACCAGTTCAAGGGAGTCGAGTATTAAGCTGAAAAATGAAGAAAATGGTTCGAGAAAACAGTCTCAAAATTCGCTTTGCGATCAAGTGAAGAGAAATATAGAGCCGGGAATAACAGTATCAGAGACTGCTCCGTCCGAGCAGTCATCACGAGGGCCTGGGGGCTACTTGGATGCTCCTTTTAACCCCTATTCYTCATGTGCCTCATCGGGTGTGTCAGTACCGGCAGCTTGTGACCTCCAACCCCGACCCCCCATACCTGGAGCACAAGACATGTTACCRCCATGGTCAGGAGGGAGGGGAGAGCCTATTCCTGATCATTACCCGCATYTACCGTACGGTGCTGGGCAATTCAATTACGTTGGAAATATACCCATGCAAGAACCTTATACTCAGAATCCTGAGGAACGTTATKTTACTCTTCCTCAACGACTTAATGGGGCTGTGCGGCAAAGACCATCCGAACATGTCTATGAATCCATCACTGAACCACCGCAAAATGGACCGAATAACACAGGGAACCCACCTCCCTCTCATGAACAGAATGGGCCAAATAGACCTGATAATGAAATTCCATACACTGAAAATAATCCTTTACTACTACCCCCACGGGGTGCGCATCTTAATGGACCTTCTAATCATAATCTTCCTCGAAAAAGGCCGCGAAGAAACTCTGATAAATCTAGAACTAGGAGGAGTAGGGAGGGGAATTCACAACCTAAAAGAAGACACACGTCTTCTCTCCCGCCACATCGGACGTCGGCGGCGTCTTTAAAAACTGAACGAGTCAAACCTGAACCAAAAGAATGGGTAGCTGATCCAGTCCCTCGTTTAACTTACGTCCCCGTGCCGCATTTGGGTAACACCACTARTGAGACTCGTAACGAGACTAGTGTGTAGTTTGATATCCTATCATAGTAGGTTTTGTATGACTGAAAGATTTGGTATATGTAGGCTATGAAGCGCTGTGTAGTGGCAAGCCKGGCCATACTGAAACGCGATGGCGCTACGTCCAAGAATCCTGGTTAAAAACAGCTCGCGCTCTGATTAGCCATGAAGCACCGTGCCGTGGCAAGCCCGGCCATACTGCTTCGTGATGGCGCTGCGTCCGAGCATCCGGATTTAAAACAACGCGCGCTCTGATTGGATCACTAGAGTAACTCATTAGACCCAACTCCGTGCTGTGCAAATAGGATTTCTACGGTTATGTGACTGCTTCACGGTTTATAGGCAACGTTTGATATTGTGTTGGTTTTGTATAAGAATAAATAACACTGAAAGTGCACTACAAGCATCTTCARTTAGTCTGTGTAGGAACTTCCGAAAGATATTTCTCAGTTTATTTTCACTGTTCTTGACGGGTGAACCTAGTTCTAAAACAACGAAAAGTAAGTATATTAACTACTCGGCTACCAGTTGGCGAAACACTACAAGTATAACTTGTGAAACAACTTAATAAACCACCATATGTTTTGAACACTTTTGTATTTTATTATCTGCTAGATATAAAGAACACAAAGAAAGCCTCTCAACGTATCTATATTTTATTCAATAGCTATGACACAGTGAATAATGAATGTAGTGGTAGTGCGTGTGGAGCGAACCTCGCTCAAGAGCCCCGCACGGGGAAGTGATGGTTGTTATCGTGCAATGAATCAAATCAACCAGTTACAATTCATTAAGATATATGRCTGTTAAACCTCGGTAATTATTGCTAATCCTTAACGTTAACAAGAGGTCGCTACTATATTTCTATCAGAATTAAGCATGCAATTCTACATACTGATATATACTGTCATCATAATATGGTATTCGATAAAAGCGCTTGGCTTGGATTAACAATTCATGAAGTTATTCTTATTATCTTACAGACTACAAATTGCAAAGAAAATCACTGCACTTTTAAAAGTTTGTCTTATTTACTACTCATTTCATTTCACTATATATCATCTTATCAATGAAATAGATATTGGTCTAATCTACAATAAATAAGGTAACTTCTCAGTGTCCCAATCTAGATGACGGGAACCAATRATATATCGAACACTGTGCTTATTCAGTCCAGTTTCTGTGCCAACTACTCACCCTGGATGGGACTGCTAGTCCATTAGAATTGGATTTTTTCACAGGTTGGGTAAAAGTTTCTAGCCTTTTATATGACGGTACACATCCAACTTCTTTTCCGGCAAGCAGTTATAAAATAGGGGCTTTTCCTTTTTTAGTTCATCCTCTTGGAGAAATGACGGCAGGACAAGTACTTTGGCGCCTACTTGGTACAGCATGGAGATACCTTCGTCTGATGGTACAATGGTGTGATATACAACACATCCATCGAGCTCTCTACGATTCCTGAAAAGCAAAGCGTTTTCGAGTGCGTAGATGATATGTGGGTACTTCTTTTTCGCTTTATCTTCTTTGGAACCTCGTGGATGGTTACCGTACAGTGCTTTAGAAGGGTAGCCATTCCAGCCGATAGCAACAATCTCTTTGTCAATGGTGATGACACAACCTACTCCAGTATTAGGGTCGTCTGTTCGGTTGGACAGCATTTGAGCAAGGCGTGACAAATGGTTGGCAACTTCGCGATCAAACTCATCTTCGTCCTCGTCTGGGGTTTCTACTTCCTCTTTATCTCCAGCGCTCGAGTTGTCTTCAACTTTTTCCCAAGCCATCTCTTCTTTGTCTCCTGTTTCCAAGATTCCCTGAACATACCATTTGAAAAACAATTTCATATCTTCGTCTACCTGATTTTTGATTTCTGTATCGGAGTATTCATCCCAACCAATCTTAGCTACGATATCGTTATCCTTCCATTCCTCCCATTCAACCTTTAATGCGACGCTTTCGTCTTTTTCTAATTTGCGTTTACCATATAGATTCTTTTTATTTGCTGATGCGAGTTCGTCTAAATCACCCTTGGTGATGTTTGGGACATAGACTTCTCTGCTTACTGGGCTTACTTTAAATAATGCATCAACACTCCTGTTTTCTTCTTGCTCATCTTTCTCAGGCTTCAAAGGCAGGTAGAACACTTTCTTGACGGCTGCTTGAACAAGCATCTTTACGCAGTGAGCGCACGGYTGTCTTGACAAATAAACGTAGCAACCTTCGACTTGATCTGGGTACTTGATTAGCGCTCTGATCGCACCATGTACAATACCACCATCATTTTCTCTGCTACAATCAACAGAGAGAACTCGATCGTTTGGTTGAACGAACACTGCGCCCACAATTCTTTCTTTATCCGAGTCCGTTGTCGTCATGGCCCATGGAGATTGTTCCATCCACAAGGCCGTCAACATGTACAAATCTTCTTTCTTGATCTGAAGTTTTCGTTTTCCATACGTGGAATCCCCTAGGCCTGTCATGACTCCGGACATTTTCTGCGAGATTCACCGGATTGATATCACAAGATTCGTTCCGAGTTGTTGTTCAATCAAACGTTTTCCCAGAATGAACAGAATCTCTCGACTTACGRATTAAAGATATTAAAACCTTCACAGCATGGCATGGCGTTTCTTTAATAAAGAGCTACTGACAACGAAAACACTCTCGGTCTTTTCCAAGAATATAGATGGGAACAGGTGTCGTGTGTTTTTACATATATCAGTATAGTTAGCCACACAGCCGAGACCGATGAAGATTAAGGGAAGCATTTCATAACAGGTGCAAACAGAACCATGACAACATCAGTCATTGAAACATTTCTTGGAAATTACGCGGCAATTGAAAGAAAATCCCCACGTGGGATGAGCAAGTCACATGATGCCACGTCAGTCTAAGGTCATATAAGGTAATGAGTAATATTCTAGTTAGCACAATTACCTCGATTTAATGCATGTACATTCCTTCACTGATAATATTAGCACTGAAAAGTTATTAGTTATACATATATTGTCAAAAATATTCCAAAATATAGGATCGTTTTTTTTGCAAAACGCTTTCTACTTGTAGATACAGAACGCTGAATATGATTCTCTTGAGTAACTAGTATACGAGTTTGGGGGTAAAGTCTGCGTGTGCGCGCTTTGAATAGCACAGCAAGAGTTATACTATAAGCAACGCTTTGTTATTTTTTCATTATTGTTTCCAGATTGTTTGGATACAAAATAAGAGGGTAAGTCCATTTATGTCTTGAAGAGATGCAGAATTAAAAACGCTACCGTCAAACAGTAGTCAATTCTAGTTGGCCCATTTCAGGTCCATTGCCTTGTACATTGAAGCATTAACGGGAACAGACGATCCTGTTAACACAATCCTGTCCGCTTAGATACCATTACACGGAATCAAGGGTAGTGTAGCAGTAGACCACTCGCCTCTAACCTCTAGGGTCTAGGGTTAAATTATTATAAGTAATACCATGGCACGAGGGAAATTAGTGATTAGATTTCCCCGAATAACGAGGGAAAATTTGTGGAATAAAACAAAAATAGAATCTAAAACAAGCAGCCTGCGTCAAATCCGGACTTTTTTGTCGGACTCGATGTGACGGATGTCCGGATGTGACGCAGGCTAAAAAAAATTTGTCATTTTCAATTTATCTTATGACTGAGCATGCGCAGATTCGAGAACGAGTCCCACATTGAAACTGTGCAGTAATATCATAAATAGGATACGTTGTAATCGATTCAATTGCAGGGGCAATGAGTTGTCCCTGAGGGTGACGAGGCATTGTCTTCTAAATTCCCCTCATGCATAGAACATGAGGGAAATTTAGAAGACAAAGAAGTCCTTTGTATTTTACTAAATTTCCCTACATTTAATGCGACAGGGAAAGTTAGTAAAAGATAAAGGATTTCTTTGTCTTCTAAATTTTCCTCATGTTCTATGCATGCGGGAAATTCGGGTTTGTAAAGCCCTTGGAAGACAAAAGAATCCGAGGTGATCATGGTATTATGGCGGATGTACCTCAAGGTATAAAATCCTTGTCCATCTCTGTTTCATTGTGTGATATTCCTATCTGAAGGATCAATGAATTAATTACCGAACACAATAACAAGATTTTTCCATTCTTCTATGAATATTATTTATGATTAATATATATATGTCATTTACCGGCCAGGAGGTCCGGATAGGGAAAAACTGTGCCCGAGGTCTTGAGTATACGGACCAAGGTCCGTTTTCAAGACCGAGGGCACAGTTTTTCCCTATCCGGACCGACTATAGGACGGTAAATAACTTATTTATTTTTCCCGTATATTTTTTTACTTGTTTTTGTAATCGTTTTGTTTTGTTGTTTAGCTGCGAGCGCGGGCAGATATTTACAAAATACCGCCCTCTCAAACAGCCAATCAGAACGGACGCACGCCAAACACTACAAGGACAAAAAGCTTCCAATAATCCTCAGCGAACTCGGCTTTGTGGCTAACTATACTGATAAATGTAAACACCCACGACACCTGTTCCCGTCAATATTCTTGGAAAAGACGGAGAGTTTTTTCATTGTCAGTAGCTTTTTATTAAAGAACGCCATGCCAAGCGGCGAAGGTTTTAATATCTTTAATCCGTAAGTCGAGAGATTCTGTTCATTCTCGAGAAACGTTTGAATAAACAACTGGGAACGAATCTTGTGATATCAATCCAGTGAATCTCGAAAATCTTCGGAGATACGACAGGGAATTCCACGTATGGAAGACGAAAACCTCAGATCAAGAAAGAAGATTTGTACATGTTGATGGCCTTGTGGATGGAACAATCTCCATGGGCCATGACGACAACGGATAAAGAAAGAGTTGTGGGCGCAGTGTTCGTTCAACCAAACGRTCGAGTTCTCTCTGTTGATTGTAGCAGAAGTAATGATGATGGTATCGTACATGGTGCGATAAGAGCGCTACTCAAGTACCCAGATCAAGTCGAAGGTTGCTACGTTTATTTGTCAAGACAACCGTGCGCTCACTGCGTAAAGATGCTTGTTCAAGCAGCCGTCAAGAAAGTGTTCTACCTGCCTTTGAAGCCTGAGCGGAAAGATGAGCAAGAAGAAAACAAGAGTGTTGATGCATTATTTAAAGTAAGCCCAGTAAGCAGAGAAGTCTATGTCCCAAACATCACCAAGGGTGATTTAGACGAACTCGCATCAGCAAATAAAAAGAATCTATATGGTAAACGCAAATTAGAAAAAGACGAAAGCGTCGCATTAAAGGTTGAATGGGACGAGGAATGGAAGAAAGAAATCGCAGCTAAGATTGGTTGGGATGAATACTCCGATGCAGAAATCAAAAAACAGGTAGACGTTGAAATGCAAAATTTTTTCGAATGGTTTGATAAGGGAATCCTGGAAACAGGAGAGAAAGAGATGAATTTTAAAGTACGAGGAAGCAAGACCACCCAAGGACCGGATGTGACTCAAAAGGTTGCCAACCATTTGTCACGCCTTGCTCAAATGTTGTCCAACCGAACAGACGACCCAAACAGAGGCGTTGGCTGTGTCATCATCATTGACGAAGAGATTGTCGCAATCGGCTGGAATGGCTTCCCTGCCAAGGCACTGTACGGTAACCATCCCCGTCAAGGAAAGTCTGCAGTCGGAGGGCGTGATAAGTACCCACACATAATTCACGCTGAACAGAATGCCTTGATGCGCAGAAATAGAAGAAAACTTAACGACGCGACTGCATTTGTCAACAAAATACCGTGTAACGAATGTTTGCCAATGTTGTGCGATGCTGGAGTAAAAGCACTCTATCTTTCAAAAGATGCTTTCAAAAAAAAGAATGAAACTACCGAGACAAGCTTCTATGAACTACTAGAGAACCCGGAAAACGATTTAACCGTCTATGAACAAGTACATGACGAAAAAAAACCGATAACTCTAGTCTTATTGGTTTTGTTGTTGTTTTTGTTGTTGTTGTTGTTGTTGTTGTTGTTGTTGTTTTATTTTGTTGGTTTTACTGTTTTTAGTCATTGAATACTTTTCACGCCACAATTCTTTACCAACCAAATTATGGGATACTTTGAACTATAGTCAGACTGAAGGTAAAAGGAAACCACGATAAAAGGGACTTACGACGTGTCCAAACTGCATGCAAGGCAAACGTGTCTAACCCTGGTAAATCTCTGTTAATCAGTGTAAAATATTCAGCAGGTGCAGGTTGACTGAATTTTTTTACTATTCTGAAGTGATGTTAGACTCTTCCCGAGTGAAATAGTCAGAACCCGATGAATCAGGTTAGGGACTTGTTTCAAGACTTATTTTCACTTTTGTCAAAAAACTTTAGATAATAAAAGACAAATATTACATGGTGTCAGAAGTGGACAAGAAATTATGGAGGAATTGAGCTCGGTTACTGGAAGGAACATGGCAGAAAATGACAACTCACACCGGATACCAGGTCCATTGGTTTTGGATGCCCAAGCGGCGGAGAGTTGGATAAAGTTCATCATGCAATTTGACATTTATCTCGTGGCAAAAGGAAAGGATGTAAAACCAGGTAAAGTTAAGGTAAATTTGTTACTTAACTGTGCAGGACCAGAGGCCATTGAGGAGTATAGCAACTTTGAATTTCACGAGGGAGAAGACAAAGAGTGTTATGATGATGTGGCAAGAAATTCAAGGAGCTTTGCTAAGGTGCAAAGAATGTCATTTATGAGCGATCAGTTTTCAATCAGCGCAATCAGAAAGAGGGAGAAGGGGTAGACAATTTTGTGAGTGAACTGAAGAGACTGTCCCTAACATGTGAATTTGAACTGGCGCATTTAGAGATTCGTTGATTAGGGATCGTATTGTTGGAGGAGTGCTGTCAATTGAGTTGAGAGGAGAACTTCTGAAAATACCAGACCTTTACTCTCCAGATTGCCCACGACTATTGCAGGACATATGAAGCAGCAAAACTGCAAAAGTTCAAGTTTAGCTCACCGATTACTAGCGCAGGCCAGCCATTAAGTGTTCATTCTGTGAAATAAAAGGAAAGAAACAGTGCCGCCTTTCTAAGTTTTGTGGGTACCAACACCCATTTACCCAACCGAGTCGCTGCCCTGCATTCAAAAAGAAGTGTAACAAGCGTCACAAAGAAGCACATTTTGCAAAAGTTTGCCTAGATAAGGTAAAAAGAAATCCCCAAGCTAAAGGAGAGAAACACGAGTGTTCTAGCCAAAGAAGACCCTGACGAAAACCCTGAAGTTCATTCATATTTCTTTAATGGATCTGCGGAGATTGGAGGGATAGTGCAGCAGTAAAAAGAACAAGAGTATGATCAAGCTCACAATCGCAGGAAAAGAAGTCAGAGTCAAAGCAGATAATGGTGCAGAAGCCACTGTAATCCCATACCATCTGTACAAGACCATTACAAAGGCACCATTACAGAAAATAAAGCAGCCATTAAGAGGCTGGCTTGCAGCCGAGCCTGTACATCCAAAGGGTCGTGTGCGCCTTCCAACTCAGTACAAGTACCGCAAGATGAATTTGTTGTACCTTGTTGTAGATGGAGATTTCACACCATTATTAAGTTGTGATGCTGGCTTAGATTTGGAGGTTGTCAAGTTCATGAATCTAGAACTGATAGACCCACCACAACCTAAAGGGTTTAATTCACAAAAGAACCATGATAGAGAGGAGTTAAAGTTTGTGGCAGATCCAGTGCTGCGTGACTATGTAGACTGTTTTAGCAACAAACCTGGTGCCCTCCCAGATGCAGTACATTTGGAGGTTGACCATACAGTACCTCCAGTGATACATCCCCCAAGAAAAATCCCAGTTGCACTTATGAAACCAGCACAAGAAAAGCTGAAAGAAATGGAAGAGGATGGCATCATCGTGAAAGAAGAGGAACACACACCCTGGATATCATCAATGCTGGTGATGGACAAAAGAAAAGGAAAAGATAGGAACTCACCACCATCAAAGAACAGTGTAAGAATTTGCATTGACCCAAGGGACCTGAACAAGGCCCTGAAACGACCCCACTACCCAATGGTGACGGTAGAAGAAGTAGCCAACCGACTGCCTGCTGCAACAAGCTTCACGACTCTTGATGCATGCAGTGGATATTGGCAGCTTCCCGTTTACGATGAGAGCTCTAACTTGACTTTTAGCACTCCTTGGGAAAGATACCGATTTACAATACTCCCTTTTGGGATACATTCAGCTCCAGAAATTTATCAGAGGTAGATGGAAAGACTCTTCAGTGGAGTCACAGTGGAAATTATAAAAGATGGCTTCCTGATTCACGGTAAGGACAACAGAGATATGGATGAGAAGTTGACAGCTGTTCTGGAAAGGAGCAAGGAAATAGGACTAAAGTTCAACCCTCAGAAAACGAAACTTCGAGTTCCAGAAGTCAACTATGTTGGGCATGTATTCTCATCAGATGGATTGAAACCTGATCCCGAGAAGATAAGAGCTATTGCTGACATGCCACACCCCACAGATAAAGCAAGCATTCTGCGGTTCTTAGAAACAATCAATTACCTAGACAAGTTTATTGAGCACAAGGTTGATCTCCAAGAACCCATCGCCCAACTGACTCAGAAAGATGTAGCATTTGTCTGGAAAAAACCACAACAAGAGGCACTCGACCAACTTAAATCTAGCGCACCTGCACTTGCATACTTTGACAATCAAAAGGAAACCGTGTTAAATGTAGACGCAAGTAGCACAGGACTTGGTACTGTGATCATGCAAGATGGCAAAACAGTTGCGTTTAGTTCAAAGACTTAATTTATCTCCTTGCGAGAGGAGATATGCCAACATAGAGCGAGAGCTCTTAGCAATATCTATAGAAATTAGAAATAAAATTTCACACATACGTTTATGGACGGCGAGTTATCGTGGAAACAGATCATAAGCCACTAGAGGCTATTTTCTAGAAAACACTGAATGAATCGCCTCCAAGACTACAAAGGATGCTGTTGAAACTGACCAAGTACGACCTCGACGTGGGCTATGTCCCTAGAAAGCAACAAGCGCTCTCTGACTGCCTGAGTAGAGCCCCTTTACTTGACACACAGCCAAAAATCAGTGAACATGAAGATGTCATTGGTGTACACCTGATTGAGGATACTGGATTGGAAAACAGCACACAGTACAGAGGTCCAAGGATGTATCAAGCCAGGATGAGACCACAAGAGTTGTGATGTAATATGTTCTAAATGGATGGCCGACAGAGAAAGAGCAGGTGGATGAACTAGCCAGGGAATACTGGGGCTACAAGGAGGAGTTGAGTGTAGAAGACGGACTGCTGTTTAAGTCAGACCGAATGGTTGTTCCAAGAGCACTGGGAGGTGAAGTACTGGAAGACATCCATGGAGCTCACCTGAGGGTGACAAAAAGCCTCAGTTTTGCTAAAGACTATGTCTTCTGGCCGTCAATGACAGCCCACATCAAAGATAAAGTTAACTCATGTGCTATCTGCAATGCATTCCGCAATCAGCAGCAGAGGGAGTCATTGCATCCACACGACATTCCTGGATTGCCCTGGCAAGTAGTTGGAACTGATATAGTCAAGTATGGTGGCTACTCGTATCTGCTAGTCACTGACTTTTATTCAAAGTGTTTTGAAATAAAATCGTTACGTCAGATTACTGCAACTTGTGTAATTAACAACTTAAAGAAAATCTTTGCACGTTTCGGAATCCCAGCTGAAGTAGTCAGTGACAATGGGTCACAATACAGCAACACCGGAAACCTGTTTAACAGTACTCATGAATTCAAACGGTTTGCAGAGGAATGGGGATTCCGACACACGACTAGTTCACCAGAGTATCCACATTCAAATGGAGCTGCAGAGCGAGCTGTGCAGACTGCGAAAAGGATTTTGAAGAAAGCTGAAGCAGATAAAAAGGACCCGTTTGAAGGACTCCTCAAGTACAGAAACACCCCTTTTGACGATATAGGGGTCCCACCTGCTCAGCTCCTGATGAGTCGACGAACTCACACAACACTACCAACTCACAGGCGTCTCTTAGTACCACGAGCTGTAGAACCTGGCCATGTTCAGAAAGCACTTAAGCAGCGCCAGGATGTTTCAAAGGCTAACTATGACAAACGCAGTCGAGACCTACCACCTCTGCAAGCTGGGGAAAAAGTACGGATTCGTCCAAACCAGGCGAAAGAATGGCGTAAAGCAGAAGTTTTGCCGAGATCCTATGTGGTACGAGATGTGCAAGGACACACTTACAGGAGGGATAGAAGGCAAATCATTGCAGTTCCAAATGATCAACACATGATCCCTCAGTTCAAAACAACCTTTACGAGTCCTCGACCTAAAGACCCTCCCACAAAGACACATGACGAGAAAACGCACTCAGTGTTACCGCCACCCATCTCAGAAGGGATCTCAGAAAAACCAAAATCACCAGTACATCATTTGCCGATGGCAACACGATCAGGGCGACCTGTAAAGAAGCCCCAAAGACTAATTAAACAGTGTTGAGGGGGGAGATGTTGTAATAGAGAGTTTAAGATTGACTTTTTTTCTTCTCGCAAACGGCAAACGTGACCATGTTTTCATCGTTTTCTTGCATTTTACTTTACCTCTTGCAAACTTTCTTATCACACACACATATTCTTTTGTTTTTCTACTACTTGGATTTTTTGCGATTCCTTTTCATTTATTTGAAAGAATTTTTCACTGATCAACTGACGTTTCACGTTTGTCGTGAACGTAAACCTAAAACTCCGTATTAAGTGTTATTTAGTTATTTGGGCTCCCTGTGGCCCCTGAAGTATATGTGAGGTCACCCCTCAGACTTTGAGAGCCATTTTGTAAAAATCTCCGTTTTGGACTGTTAGGGACTTACTTCAAGACTTATTTTCACTTTTGTCAAAGAGCTTTAGATAATAAAAGACAAATATTACACAAACCTGTCGTACCAGTGCACAGCTGGCCAAATAAAGAGAATAAATAACTCCAACTGAATGATGCGAAACGAGTAGGCCAGTCTATCCGTGTCTCGAAGAAATGTAAAACTAAAACAACGCTACCGTCAAACAGCAATCATTTCTAGTTGGCTCATTTCAGGTCCATTGCCTTGTATTGAAGCATTAACGGGAACAGGCGATCCTAACAATACAAAAGGCACGGAGATTATCCCACTGATCATTACTCTTAACCCTGTTTAGTCTATACAGTTTGTTTTTAAAATGACATCCAAATTGTAGTTCTTGTTCAGTACCAATCGTGTTCTAATATGTTCTGAGTTTTTATCTAAGATTTTGTAAAGGTTCTTAGATACCACTACACGGAATACGGAATACACTTATTTATTCAATTCAATCGTAATTTTTTAAATTCAATGTTTATATACATGCAAATTCAATCTCTAACATACATTCAATTCAATCCAAAATACATTATACAAATACATCAGTATAGTTAGCCACAAAGACGGGACCGATGAGGATTATGGGAAGCATTTCATAACAGGTGCAAACAGTCAACATCAGTCATTGAAACATGTCTTGGAAATTACGCCGCAATTGAAAGAAAATCCCCACGTGGGATGAGCAAGTCACATGATGCCACGTCAGTCTAAGGTAAAATGAGTAATATTATTCATAATATTATATGGTAAAATGATGGATATAATCATGCATACTTCAAGGAACACGCGTTTTTTGGCTCTGTCATTTTTTGGCATTTTGTCTCTTTTATCATAACCGTCTGGATGTTCTTCACAATCCAAAATACCAAGAAACAACCGTCAATCAACTTTTTGTTGCTGGTAAAGTGGCATTTCAGATACAGAATGAGGAAAATTGGTATATTCTACGTTTTGGCTCTCCTCGCGACCCAAGAGTTGCAAGGCAGTTTTGCATAAATTACAAGACTAAGGAAAAATGGATCTTTTATCCACCAACACCTTTAAACAATGGTTACGAATATCGAAGTAGTCAAGCGAATTATTCGCTCTCCATCGAATCTTCGAATTCACAGCCCTTCTCGTCGGTAATATATCCAGTAATATCGCTGCAACGTGCTTATTTCTGGAACAGGAAAACTTACTTCTCTTGCATCTCTTGGAGATGGCCTGCTGTTGTCCCCAAAGAAGCCTTTTTATCTAATGCGTTTACCACTCCTGGGTGGACGGCTTGATGCCTAACAGGCCTTGCGACCCAATTGATAAGGCAGCCGGTTAGCACGGGCACTGAAGATGGTCGTCACCAGCATCTTCAGTGGATTTTTACGTCCGCCTTATACAGTTTTATATAGTGAAGACAGACGGGGCCTACGGTTTTAAGTCCTTGTCCGAGAAGACTTGAAGGTCTAACCATTTGCAGATATAATTACAAAGACAGCACCTTCTCCTCAGTTATTTTGAGAGGAAATAAGGCTAGAACCACGACCTTCCGCACAACAGACCGACGCTCTTACCAACTGAGCTAACCGGTTGGCGGTTATATCGCAGGACTTTTTTCCACAGGAAACCCAAACGTACGAACTCTCGCTGTCTATACTATCCTAATTCGTGTGCCTCACGTCAGCTATTATTACGAGGCGGCGACATTTCAACAAATCACGGGCCTGATCAGTCAAACAAGAGTTCAAACCCCAAGAAAGAAACTAAATCCACTCCATGTCGTAACTGCAGTAAACGACCAACCACAAGCGTTTCCTGTGTACCAAATGCTTCGACCTGTACCATGCAAAATGCATTGATATCTCCGTTGATTTAACGAACGTCCGGGTCTGCAAGCCTATGGTATGGATATGTACTCAGTGCCTACTTACTGAGTTGCCCTTCTATCGATGTGAACCAGACGATTTTTTCTCAGATTCTCTAACAGAGGATAACATCCTCTCTGTGCAAGGCTTTCCAGAAAATGAAGTGGATCAGCTTGAAGAATTAAGAAGCAGGCTGAATCAACTGAAGGTTCTACAATTGAACACGCAGAGCATGTTATCTACATTTGATGAATTGCTGGCAACTATCAAAGAGTACCCGCTCGATGTTGTGGCGATGAGTGAAACCTGGCTCAAGAACAACCCGGACCTCATAAATTACGTAACAGTACCCGGATATTCAATCCTGTATCGCATCCGTGATAATCTCCGTGGTGGTGGTGTTGGTGTTTATATAAAAGAATCGCTCCCATTTAAAAGAAGAACCAACATCGAAATCATAGAACCTGAACTGGAACAAATTTGGCTTGAGATCAGTGGTCGTAATAAATACTGCAAACTGTTCCTAGGAGTCATGTACCGTTCTAAGTGCATCCAAGACTATCAGACCTGGCTCAATAAAACTGAAAATCTACTTAGTCAATTAAGCATCAATTCGGATGGTCTCCTGATGATTACTGGTGATCTCAATATTGATTTACTGAAACCGGAACAGCCTATGGTCAAGCAATATACTGACATGCTTGAATCTTTTAACCTACATCAGTTGGTTCAGATTCCTACTCATGTAAGTCACAAGTCGCTGTCCTCCCATGTCCAACAGTAAGCGACCACGATGCTCCTTATGCCTGTGTAAACATACGAGTGCCTCGTTTTCAACCACGTTATAAGATGATTCGTGATGAGAAATTGTTTGACGAAAAGGCATTCGTTGATGACTTCTCCACATTGCCCTTCAACCTGGTCTATAGCACAGATGATATAGATGATAAAATGGACTTTAACTTGTTATTTAAATCATGTTTAGATAAACATGCCCCGCTGCGGAGAATGAAGATCACCAGACCACCAGCACCCTTTGCTCAATTCTGAAGACATACGCAAACTCCAGATCGAAATAAATAAATTGAGACACCTAGCGCACAAAACCCAATTAGATGCCGTATAGCAAGCATTCCGAGACATCAGAAACAGCATAAGAACCAAGATAAAAAAGTTGAAAAGATCCTTTTATCAAAAGGCTTTGTCTTCCAAAAAGCCTAAGGAACTGTGGAACACCATACATCGTATTCTTCATCCAAATCCAAACCAATAAATGTTAATCCTGATATACTGAACGAACATTTTAGTACTACCACGCAGCGTCTTCTTTGAACCACTTCAACATCTCCTCAACGCCTGCAAGAGATGATAGACTCACTGCAGTACCAAACCTAGCTCCAACTCACTGTTTCATATGCGCAAAGTTACCTACAAAGAAGTATTACATCAGCTGAAGTCAATGAGATCTGATAGCTCAACTGGACCAGACCAAATACCTGTAAAGTATATCAAACTAATTGCAGATATAATCGCCTCTCCGCTAACTCATATCCTTAATGAATATATACAGAAAAAACTCTTTTCCTGAGGCCTGGAAAATTGCACGTGTATCTCCAATTCCAAAGAATGACAACCCTAAGGATGGCGATGACTTCCGCCCCATCTCAGTGCTACCGGCTCTATCCAAGATATTTGAAAGACTTGTTCTTTCCCAACTACTGGAATATATAGAACAGCATGATGTACTACAGAGCACAGTTTCTTGCTATCGGAAAGGTCACTCAACAATCACCATCTTTTTACGGATCAAGGATGATACTGTATCATAAAAAGCAGTGAGAAAGGGAGAGATAACTCTAATCGCCTATGCTGACTTCTCCAAGGCTTTTGATACCATGGAATGCTCTACTATCATACAGCGGCTTCATACAATAATTGGTTTCTCTCATGGTGCTCTGAGTTGGATCCTCAGCTATTTTAGTGGCAGAAAGCTGGTTGTTCAAATACATGACAAGCAATCTAATACCCTTGCCGTTCGTTTCGGCGTTCCACAAGGCTCTATTTTAGGGCCTATATTGTTTAATCTCTATATGAATCCTTGATGAAGTCATCCTCATAGTATTCGAGTGGTCTTTATATAAAGATCACGTGTCTTTATATAAAGACACATGTCGTTATATAAAATCACTTGAATACTAATGAAGAGGACTTTATCGGGTATAAAGGTTCATGCACGTGACGTGTATGGTGGCTCCAATTGGATCATAAGCTTATGAATTATTAATGAGTGCTTTAAGTGTATGTACTTGCTTATGTCTTAGTATACGTATGTGTTCGTGGATGTATATTGATATATTTATTATGGTAATATATGTTTTCATGCTTGTCTGTAGATGTATGTATATGTATATCTATGTATACATCTAATTGAAAAAAACGTTGTCGGGTTCAAAAAAAGGTTATATCATCAAATCTTTTTATTTATTTATTTATATTTCTTTCTTTCGACAGTAAACCTATGTCACAATAGTGATTTACAATAGGGAACTGCATTAAGAAATACACGAGTAAAGTCAAAAACGATATGTAAAAAACAAAATAAAGGATATATATATATATATATATAAATACAGTGGAACCCCGTTAATAAGGACACCGTTGGGACGGAGAAAACTGTCCTTATTAACGGGGTGTCCCTATTAACCGAGGTGTCAAAAAAAACAGCTGAAAACACATTTTTGACCGTTCATTTTTACTGTACTGTAAAC